TTCTGGTAGCTTCTCTCGTAGAAGCCACCCTTATGTCGTCCCCCCCCACCCCGCTACCAAAACCTTGCCACGCAAACCCAATACATAGGCATAGGTTAAAACAATCTTAAAATTCACCAAAAAAAAAAATAATAATTGTAATTTAAATATCCTTTTCTCTGGTAGTTGTTGGTATTTTTAATCTCTCTTCAGCACAGCCTTAAGTGTAGAAAGGATGAGAGCATAATGATTGGTAGGACTGAAGAAGCAGAAAGATTTGTCAGACTGATAACAAGATATGCTAGCCTCTTTATATCTTCAGTTATTCAACCTATTAGAAAGGATTCCTGTATGACTTTGCATTAATTAATTAATGCATGAATTAAAATGTATTTTTAATTCAGATTCTAGTATATTATTCTAGTTTATTAATAATTATATTTTTCTTTTTTATTACATGTAACATGTCTTGACACAGTGCAGCTTTATCTTAATAACCATTTTAATTCTTAAAGTAACTGTTTTTAATATAAAATGTGCAACTGTCATACATTAACTGGAATATAAAGTTTTATGTTTAAAAAAAACCCAACAACTTACAAATTATTACGTTTTAATGGTGATTTCTTTATAATTATACTACATATGTATATAGGGCTTGGGGAAACCAGAGGGATAAAAGTTTAAAAAAGAAAAAAAAATTGTTATGAAGAAACCTCAAAACAAAATGTACAGACATGTTATCTCTTCACCAAAGTAATATGTAAACAAGTTTAATTCCTTGTTTAACTATAACTTAGGAAACTGAAATTCATGATGTCTTTTATACTTTTTTATTCTAGTGATGCATTTTGCATTACGTTTATACAGTACGTTTCTTATCTCCTTAATATGTTCTTCTTTTTTCAGACCAACTTTAACACTGTTCTGGCAAGAGAGAAAATGAAAAAAGAAAACATAATTAATGATCTTAGTGACAAATTAAAAATGCTTACACAGCAGCAAGAAAAAGATAAGGGTAAGCAGAGTTCTGAAAAAGTATTAATCTTTTCTAATAGGACAGTTGCATTTGCTACAGATTGATTTTGATCCCTAATGCTGCTGTTATTTTTATTTACTTGTGTCATAGATTTGATTGAAACACTTTCTGAAGATCGAGCCCGCTTACTTGAAGAGAAGAAAAAGCTTGAAGAAGAAGTTAATAAGCTGAGAAGTAGTAATTTTTCTCCATCAACCTACTCAGCAGCAGCTTCAGAAGTTTGTGGAGCCTGCGCAGCTGATATTCCCACTGACACAGACAGACTAGTTTCTGACATCGCAGCTGAAGGGAGAATGGACTCTGCAATGGAAACCAGTATGATGGCTGTGCAGTAAGTATGGGGTGCTGTAGGAGAAATACACAAAGCATGCTTTTGTTCATTAAATGCATTTAACACTTCTATCTTTGATGTTCTTGCTAAAAATATTCTTTTAAACGTACCCATGCAATTGTGGTGTCACAGTCATCAGAAATGTGGTTTTTTGATGACTTAGAAACATGCAGCTTAAAGATGAAACTTGGCCCCACAAATATGAGATGAAGACATAGACCGAAGTATATGAAATGTAGGTTGAACAGGAGAATAACAATCTTAATAGTGAATGAGCTGGGTGGCTGCATGTTATTGCCCTATCTTTTGAACAGTGGCTGGCTCTCATTTAAAAATAAACAAATAAAAAAAACCTCTTTGATTGTTCGCGTGCATGTCTGCATAATGACATTCCTTGTTAAAGGGGAAGGAGTGGTACGTGTGCTTGGTAGAAATTAAGCTGAATCCTCAGGTTTCCAAATAAGTCATGAGAATCGGGCTGATTAAGTGGCCTTGACGAATTGATGTTTTGTATTATTGGAGAGGACAGGTATTCAGCACCTTTGAATCATTAGTACTGTCAGCTGTGATGTACTACTGACTAGATGGCAGTGACAGCCCTGGGAAAAACTTTGCAACGATTGAAACCCTTACTTGAGGAAAACGTCTAGGGCAAGCAATTTACATACTTCGAACTAAACTTTTCACTTCGAGTTGGTTAGTTTGTGTTTGGATCTGGTTGTTAATCTGGATTTACAACAGATTCAAATAACATTATGTTGATACTGCGCACATTTTACTGTTTGTCACCCTTTTTGTATGGATTTTTAATTACACAGGGGCATGTGGTTTGCAGGTAGGTGTCTGAAGCTGTGCTTGAAATAGGTGATAACAGAGATCAAAGGGAATTTATGGGGGTTTTTTTTTCAGTCCTTGGCTTCACTATATTCTCTGTTTTGGGTGCATTACAATAGCAGTGCACTTTGTTATTGGCATATAACGCCTTGCCTCGTAAGTTGAGTTTCCATCTATCACTAGTAGACTGTGATCTGGTCTTAGTACATGACTCTAAAGTCTTCCTCTGTTTTGGGTGCATTACAATAGCAGTGCACTTTGTTATTGGCATATAACGCCTTGCCTCGTAAGTTGAGAGTTTCCATCTGTCACTAGTAGACTTGTAATCTGGTCTTAGTACATGACTCTAAAGTCTTCTGGACTTAAATAATCATGACTGGTACAAAGTTGTCACATTGCATGTTGTTAGGATCCAGCCTACTGAAGATGTATTTTCTGTTTTTTTTCAATACTTACTTCCATGAAAATGTATATCAAGTTCAGAGTTCTGGTTCTTACTTTAAACATACATAAAGTAACTTTGTAAAGATTTTTGAATAGTAAAGACTGATGCTCCAAGAGAAGGGGGTTGTGACAATGCATGCAAAAATACTAGGTTTGTTTGGTTTTTTTTTTACAATTTTCTTAAATTTCTTTAACAAAAGTAGAATGTTAGACTTAAAAATTCTGTACTAAAATGAGCACATTCTGTTACGTGTACTTTCTGACAAGAATAAGATTAAATGAATAGCACATGATATGTGTGTATTAAAATAGGACTCACTACTAGGAGTTACTCGGCTATTATCATGCTTAGTGCAGTATGAGAATCCATTTACAATAGATGAGATTACTGGGAGAATTCAGGAAAAAAGGTGGAAGTTGTTTTTTCCAGGGAATTCCAATTGTTTTTTTAACTCTATATCAAAACTGGGGAAAACTAGAAAAATCAAAAAATCTACAGTATGGGTATGTTATAGCAGCCGAAGAAAACTGATATATTCAAAACTTAGTATTTTTTGAGTATACATCAAAAAAACTTGGCTGTTGTCTTTTCCCAACCAAATCAGTTGAACTACAAAATATATTGTTTCTTCTCTATTAACCTGCCTTTAAAACTGTATTTTAATCGCATTAGGAATTACTCTCTGTGTTCTTAAGAAATTTCTTATTGGGATGTTAGCGTTATCTTATCATGCCCCAGTGCTCAGTTTGTCTCACAGATAAACAGAGACAATTAGCAAGTTCACCTTAGCGTCTCTCTACCAGAGTCTCCCAGAGCCTTTAAACTACAAAGAAATATGACATTATAGAGCTGAACTGCTGTATCAGGGGTTAACCACCAAAGCATTTGGAGGTGTATCTTTCATCCTGATATTTTGAAAATAATGCAAAATATTCAGAAATGGACCCATGTAACTTATTAAACTAATCTTAATAAGTGACTGAAAATCCACTAGCTTGTTGCAACAAAGCAGCAGCTTGGGTTTATCCCCCCAAAACTGCCAGAAATGTTAATACTGATCCTTAAGGTTTCTTTCTTTGATGTTCCCTCTGTGCTAGCAAATATGTGACACTCATCACTGAGTGGAGATGAGGGGGGTGGGAAAATTTTTTATCATGAAAAAAATTCATTTTTAACCTATCCCTTTTCTTCTTTCTCTTTTAGTGAAAATGTCCATATGTCTGAAGAAAAACAGAGGATAATGTTGTTAGAAAGAGTGAGTAGATTGTGATGTTAAGCATTGCAACTAAGTACTTATAAATATGTATGTGTGAAGTGGTCAGTTGTATTCTCTGATGCCATGTAGTATCTGCAAGGCTTATAAATATCATTTCAGGGAATAGTTTTTCATTGTACTCATTTTGGATCAGTATAATTCATTGAAGTAATTCAAAATAAGTATTAATACATTATACTTATACTTGAGCTAGCTTAAATTTAGGCTTCAGTATGAATGAGTCAGGTATAATACTTGTTCTTAGGAGTCATTAATCTAGGCAATTTCTGTAGCAAAAAAACCTTTGATTACTTTTTCAAATTAAGGCATCTAAAGGAGGTGGACAGGAATTAAGATTAATTTACTTGTTTCTCTTGGAAATAGGTCATTTCTCCTCTTATGCTGCTACTACTTTTAATTCTACCTGGGATGCATTATAATCTTAACAATATTGCTTCTGTAAAAAGTGAAATAACATTTGTTATGATGTGCTTAAAATTAAAATTTTCTGAAGTTATTATTATGCTCCTACAGGCTAGAATTGTAAGTTTACACCTCATTACCCCTACTTCTCCCAAATACATACTTTAAGTTCTCAACTTCTGTTACAGCTTTTATTTTGAGCATAGCTTTCAATATGCACTGAGTAATTTAATCTTTTTGATGAAATAAAAGTTGTTATTCTTTGTAAAAGGCTAGGTTAACTCTTAGTAGTTACACTGGAATCTGTCAGACTGTGATAGTTTTTAACTATCAAGTTGTATCTAACTCCAGTCCCACTTCCTTTTCCTTGCCTTAAAAAACCAAAACAAAACAGTTTCTTTAGCTTTCAGCTTTCTAGGATCACTTAGACTAAAATCTGTGATCAATTAGAGGACATTAATGTTTTCTGTTAATAGATTGTGGCACTGTATCATGCAAGTGGCTGGATGTTTCTGCCTACGAACACTTAAATGCTTTATTATGTCATCTGCTTACAAAGAATTTGTCACAGGCAGAAGCTATAAAATAGTAATATGTTAGGTTTATTTTGCTGTTTTATCAGTGAACTGTTTTTTTAAGTTAACCAGAAGGATGTGTGTGGAGATAAACATAGCTTAGCAGTTTTGTAGCACTGTGGTAATTGATAGACTTCAAATTTTTTTATATGTCTTTGTTCAAAAGATATTTTGATATTGATTTAATACTGAAATCTGCAGTAAATATGTATATTGTATCAGTAGTCTGGCTCTGGTTATACCAAAACTTTTTAAAAAATGTATACTGTATAAGGTGTATTAATTAGTTAATCAGATAAGATTTTCTTTCAGACTTTGCAGTTGAAAGAAGAGGAAAATAAGAGATTAAATCAAAGATTGGTAAGTATTTTTGCAATGCATGTTTTAATCCTCATGGAAAAAAATAAGAAAAGCTTACAAATGTTCAGTTTGTTAAAATCTGAAAATGTGTCTTATTAACTTCAAAAATGTTTTAAGTGTCAAGACAAATGGCAAATAGGTAACCTGCTAACCTTTCAGAGGTACCTCAACTTCACAATCTTCTCATGGAAAAGATTCACAGGACTGGAGAGAAAGACACTTCTTCCCAAAGAACACAGACCATCCAGGCTTGGGGTAGGGGAAGTTAATTTCAGTGGCACCATGGCTCAGTTTTTCAACAACAGCCGATTGAAGGCCAGTTTACAAGAACGTAAATATGCCTGCACATTTAGCATAATTAGGAGAGTTAGCAGTAACTTGAGAGAGTTATTTTGAAAACTGCACATCATTTTTGTAAGGTGTGAAACTTTAATTCTGCCTAGCAACTGGAAATCTAAACAGCCATTGTCTTAAGCACTCAAATAATAGTCAATGCCTGTGGAAGGAAAAAGAATATAGTGACGGAGTTCCCTTGATTCCTGTGCTATGAATCCTTCTCCTTTTATTTATCCACAGTTTATCCTTGCTGGCAGGGCTTGATCTTAAATCTTAAAAAAAAAAAAAAAAAAAAAAAAAAGAGAGAGAAAAAAAAAAAGAAAAATATGTATGGAAAAGACACAACTCCTTTGGTAGTTTATTCGTTGGACTGGCCATGGAGATTTCACTTTTTTTATGTGACAGGTGATATCTAGGAGTTTGGTAGGAACTGATATCTATGTAGTTGCAAGTTCAGTTTCATAGCAGAAGTGTTTGATAAGTTTCCCCAGTCAGAGCTGGGGGATAGGGTTTTCTTTCTGGAATAGGATTTAAATTTACTATGTAATTTACTCCTTATATAAGTTATTCCTGCTACATATTTAGGTATGAAATTGCAATTTTTTTCAAACATTTTCCATTCCACATTAAAATTGTCCATAAAAACCCTGCTAGTGTAAGGCATAAGAAGGGATTGGAAAACATCTAAAAGCATATTTCATAAAGAGGATTTGTTTATTCAGAATGCCAATGAAGTGCTCAAAAGGTGCTTCAGTGTAGTTTTTACAATAAAACTCAAACACACTGGACAGTCTTCCAAACCTCTCTGCAGATTTCCTGCATTTCCTCTTGATCTCTTTGTCATCTCAGAGTAAAATTAAGTTGAAGAAAACTTGATGTTATTCAAGACAAATACAAAATTCTTTTTTGTTGTTATGACTAATGCCAAGCCACATAAGCTCATTGGTGCCTAAAGCAACTCAAAATTGGTTTCTAAATGGGCATAGGAACATAATATCTTTTTGGTTTCTTACTTATAGATTAGTCATTTCATAGATAAAATAAACTATTTTTATTTCTTGTCCCTTCATCCTCTTTTTCTCCCCCACCCCTTCCCAATACACTTCTAAAGCAGAAAAATACATCAACACTTAAATACCAATATTTATTTCTATCCAGCTACTTCAGATAAGGAACCCAGAGGGGATTCTGCACAAAAAATCTTTTCAGGAAATCTTTTCAGAAAATCTTTACAGGTCACTGACTTTTTGCAGCAAAACTTGTGGGTTACCTCTGCAAGCAATAAAAGATAAAAAGGATTTCCTTTTAATACCAGGGATGTTATTACAGGATTTTTGTTATTCTATATAAATTATTCAGAAAGGGACCCTTTTTTTCTGTTTTAAGCCTATTGGAACTCTAGTAATATTCTTTACTGAGTTTTAATAGAAATATTCTTAACATTCTAATTGTTTTTTCTTAAAGTTCGAAATTAGTGAAAAATATAGAAATCAAGCTAGTTTGCGATTTAATTTAACACTTATTCCAATTAAAAAAAAAAAAAAGAAACAGAAAAACTTTAGTCTTAACATGTGAAGAGAGCTGTCACATGCTTTAGTGAACAATCGAAGAAAATTATGTGCATTTGACAACTTCCATGTTAGCTGCAACTTTTTCAAGAAAGAAGAATACAATATGAGTCAAGGAAATGTAGTCTCTAACAGAAAAAAACCAACCAACCAACTAAACTGATCTGAATTTGGACCCCATAAAGAAAACTGCTGAAAGTGTCATCAGAGCTTTTTGTATTGTACTGTATTTAATATAGACTCATTCTCTGAAGAAATGAAGATGAGCTGTGGGGTGGCTTCAGGCTCACATATTAAGACAGGCTGATACTGTTTCCAGGGAAGATGTGTGGAAGACTGACAATAGGAAATACGCTGTAATTAACAGTATTACAGCTAAGAAATCATGTGCTAAACTTCGGGTATGAGTAATCTAGATTTTAATAGCATGTATTAAATGGTCCAGGAAGTAGGAACCCATGGAAAAACTTCAAGACCTCTAGTCAGAGTTTCTACAGGGCACTTATGAATTGTCTTTTGTAAGGAGGTTACCAAAGGGTAATGAAACGCGTACATTTACACCAGATCAGCTTCTCTATCTGCTTGCCTGTATGTGGGCTGTGTATCCCTTTGTAGATACAAACTAGCGTTACCCATTTTCATTTCTCATTATCACAGTTACTGTCAAAAGTGTATGTACACTTACGTCCATTTTTAGATCTAGCTTATCTTACTGAAGTTGGATCATGTGCCAGTATAAATTAATTTAAACAGATTTAAAGGCAAATATCATGCATATAGCAGATAAGAATTATGTCCAAAACCTTGCATAATTGAGCCTTTGCTTTGTCTTAGTAAATTTGACCCCAGTTTTATTCCAAGGAATGCTGCTCTGTTACAATAAACTTTAGATTAAGTGACATTTCTGTAAAACTTGAGAGACCGTATAAAGTTCAACATCCAGAGTTTAATTGCAATAAAGATGTTTAACCTGCAAGAATAGACACTGTTTGAGATCAATAATGGTTTATTTTAACCATATTGTTACCTGCAATGTACATTTCCTCATAGCTTGCCAATATTTTATAGCTTTTCTCTTTTTTTTATAGATGTCCCAGAGCATGTCATCAGTATCCTCAAGACATTCTGAAAAAATAGCAATTAGAGAGTAAGTACATGATAATTTTCATATAAACAGATAGATATACTTTCAATAATAAGTATGCAGTTAAAGAATGTCACAATTCTACTGTTCTGTCTCTGTGACAAAAGATGCATAGGTCATTTCTATAGTTCAGCTGTCAGTTATTGGACCATCTCAGTTGGGCATAAATCAAATTTTATAAACCCTTTTTTTAAACAAAAAAAAAGCCTTTATGAATTCTGTATGTCGGTGGCTTTCTTGAATTCTATGCCTTTCTTTAAAGTAGAAGTATCTGTGCTGCTGTTCAGCTAAGTCAGTCTGTGCGGTACTCAGGGAAAAAAATAGTAGTGTAATTAACGTAGTTTTAAGCTTCTGTGCTTCTTTTAGTTACGTTCCTTGCTGGTTTGTTGATTTTTTGTTTTTCAGTTTTCAGGTTGGCGATTTGGTTCTCATTATCTTGGATGAAAGACATGACAACTATGTACTGTTTACTGTTAGTCCAACCTTGTATTTCTTGCACTCAGAATCTCTTGCTGCACTGGATCTCAAACCAGGTGAGTGTGGTAAGTGTCAGTTTACTTCCAATTATTATCTTCTCCTGCAAATAACACTCTTAACCTTCTAACACTAAGTAAGTTTATAAATATATATGTGATAAATATGTATGTGATAAATACATAAAAGTTTATAAATATAGTTTATAAAAGTTTATAAATATATATGTGATAAATATAAATGTATTCATTCTAATTTATCAGTAAAAGTTTCTATATGTTATTGCATGTCAGAAGCTGTCAACTTATTTTCAATGAGCAGACTCATTATAGATTTCAGTTATGATGAAATTTGATAGCTCTTAAATAATTGTGTAGTCTCCAGAAGACCACCAAGCTGTAACTGAATTCTGAGACTGCTGAAGGATCTGTGCTATGCGTGTTCCACAAAACATATGGGAAGAACTCCTATTTTACTTACAGATGTAATACATTCTGAACTGTGCCATTAGTAGTGCGTACATAACTGTGAAACATGATCGATTTTCTTACTGTTGGTTCACATATATAAAGTAAAACCCATGTCAGTTTGTGTATTACTCTTGAGTACACAGTTCACTGACCTGTTTTCAAATGGGCTTAGCTTACTTCATTCCTTACAGCTTGCTAACCAGTTAGTCTCAAATTTGAGAAAACTGCACATAAAACAAATACGAAGACTTACTGTTTGCTTTAGGAACACATTTGTCTCTAGCTCAGTACTTCAGGAAACGGTGTCTCGGTTCTGTTTCTGTATCAGGAAAATGGAGAAAATGAAACCCAGAACACTAGTATTATTTGTGATAGATTAAAAATGGTGTGGACCCGAGGTACTACAAATTACTGTTTTAAGGGCTGCCAAAACGTTGCATCTAAATATGACCTTTTGTACCAACATGTATGTTTCAGGTTAATAATTCTGTATAGATCCGCCTACAGTATTAAGTGTCAGGGATCTAGGCTATCATAGGTTGTCTCTGCCTACATTAAGAGTACCTGGAATGCTCTGACAACAGTGAAATTGGTTGAGGACTGTATGGTTTCTCTGTGTTCCCTTATCTTCTGGATGTGGAATTTTTCATCTGCAAATGTAAGGAAAAAAACCTGCATCTTTCCCACTGTCTTTGTTAGATCAATGAAGTCTGTCAGCCAAGCAAATTAAAAAAAAAACCTTAAGTATTTCTGTGATTTCAGTGTTAGTTGTAGAGCATTCAGGCCAGCTATGTGTACTTTGCACTGATTTGTGGGAGTGTGGAGAACAGAATATACTCCATTATCAATAGCCAGATTAATCTTGAAGGGTAAGATTAAAATTTCAAATTCTGGTTCTTGAATGACTCATGTTCTAGTCACTAGATAGAGGACCTCATAAATAGTCATGCTTAGAAAAGCATTGATTTTAATGTTATGTGAGCTGTTCCTTCCTTCTGTTTTGATGTTCTCTTCATGTCGTCGTTAGTGATAGTCAGAAAAGAGTAAAGCAAGTGAAATGGATATAATTTCTTGGAATATGAGACAAATAGGCATTTCCTTACTGTTACAGAAATGGATACAAGCTGAAAGTTTATTTATGCCCACTGTTTCTCTTGTGACCTGTCAGTTTATTCGAGGTTTTCACTTTTCTGCTTTCCAAACAGTATCAAGTACTCTCAGAAGACTACAATGAAAACTACCAGTCTTGTAGGGCTTTACAAAACAAGGGGAAATGGGTTTAAACTGAAAGAGGGAAGGTTTAGATTAGATATTAGGAAGAAGTTTTTCACTGTGAGGGTGGTCAGACACTGGAACAGGTTGCCCAAGGAAGTTGTGGATGCCCCCTCCCTGGAAGTGTTTAAGGCCAGGCTGGATGAGGCTTTGAGCAACCTGGTCTAGTGGAAGGTGTCCCTGCTGATGGCAGGGGGGTTGGAACTAGATGATCTTTAAGGTCCCTTCCAATCCTAACCATTCTATGATTCTATATTTATTAGTAATTCCCATCACTAATACAGAAAAATAATAAAATGTTTCAGTAAGGGCAATAATAATACCTGAGTACAGAAGACTTTCTATCCTTTGAAATACGTCAAGAAATTCTCACCTCAAATCAGACAAAAAGGTCAAGCTTGGTTGACAAGAATAATTTTGAATCATTAAATTAATTTCAGTTTTGATTTGCCTTTGTCTCCTCTAATGTTAACTTTTAAAACAAAATTTAAACTGAAAAATCTTTTTTTTTTTGTTTGAAAACGACAGTGACCTGTCTTGACATCTGAACTTATTTAATTTTTGTTAATTCGTTAAAAGAAGGGGTTTTTGAAGAATTTCTGCTTTCAATGACAGCAGAAAATGAAATCATTTTAGCAAATAATCTTTAACCATATTAAATGTAATGTCCTGTTACCTGTAGTTGATTATCTAGAATAATAAATGTATTGTCTCTTTAGCTTCAGGTGCATCTAGGAGACCTTGGGTGCTAGGAAAAGTGATGGAAAAAGAATATTGCCAGGCAAAAAAGGTAAGGGAACAGTAATGGAAAATCATCTGATAAAGTTAATACAGAAGAAAATCAGATTTAATGTTTGTAACAACTGTGAAAAGTACTCTTTGCATAATAAATGAGGTGAAAATAGTCCTAGATTCTGCTATTCCTGCTCTGTTTTTTAGTTGGTGAATAGCAAGAGAAGGGGAACTAGAAGAGTGAGTGAGCAGTGGCTTAGGTAATTGTGTCCGTACTGCCCAGAACTTTGACTGACTCGAGGGTCTCATAAATGCTGGGGGGTGGGAATCAGTTTCTGTTTAAAAATATAAAAATCAGAGGAGTTATCCTACATTTCTAATGTAATTTGTTTTTTGGTTTTTGTTTTTTTGTTTTTTTGTTTGTTTTTTGTTTTTTGTTTTTTTGTTTTGTTTTTTGTTTTTAGGCACAAAACAGGTTTAAAGTTCCTTTGGGTACAAAATTCTACAGAGTGAAAGCAGTACCATGGAACAAGAAAGTATAACACAACAAAATTTTGGTTCATTCTGTCTCCATTCTTTTTTGACTTGTCCTTCAGTGCTCGTTCATCGCTCCAAATACCAGGCCATCTTTTTATACTGAGGTCGTGTGACAAGATACGTCATTGATGTACTGCTTTTACTTTTTAACAGGTCACATTTTAGAAACAAGAATTTAATCAAAAACTCTGGCCCTAACTGTTCCAATTTTTTTATCCAGATAACTTTAGGAGTGTGGACCAAATGAGTTCATTTTCTCAAAGGGCAACCACATGAAACATGGTTTGTTAGCCATGTTAATTGCCTGTTAAATATACATTAGCTTGTATTTAGATGTTAAATGTTAGTTGCCATTATTACCAGCATACGTCCTTTTGTGAAATCATTTTCAAAGTACTTGCACTCTTTAACAGATTCTTTATATGTGTAAAATTCATCCACTATTTAAAGAGGAGTGTTCATTGCATGCAGATAATCATATAATTTTTCTTCAACATGGGTTTGCCTCAGTAGATGAATAAAAATAACTACTGCAACTTGTTTCATTACATGAAAATGCTCTTTAATGTAAAAAAAAAAAAAAAACCCTGTCATTTGATAGACTGATTTTGAAAATCAGTCACAGCTAGATCTGCAATCTTCAAAAGCACTTTCGATGGATTGATCACACAGATTCTGAAGGGAAGACGCCTGTGCTGTTTGTTCAAAGTGAAGCACTTGTTCTTCCCAGCAAAACAGAAATCTTGTATTAATCTATTTAGAAAAATCATATTGATGAAATTGTATTTCATGGTTGAGTTTCAGGAAAAAACTCATTGTACATTAACCATACAGGAGTCATTTAAGTAACAAATTATTGTAATTGTAAAAGACATGTAGAATTTTAAAACAATAAAGATTTGAAACTGTATGTGTTTGAAGTATTTGTGTGCCTTTTAAATACTAACTGTATTATTTATTTCATGGTAATCTGTTTCAGCTTCTCTCTGATTCCTCCGTCAGTTTCATTACGTAGAAATACCTAAATTTTCTACAAAAGACATTAATATTCAACAACATTCAGGAATTACAAGAATTACCTTGTAATGTTAACAAAGAAATTAAGAAGATGAATTAATTTTGTTATCCTATTAAATGGATAAATGACATAAATAGTTGTTTTAAAAATGTAGTCTATTTTATTTTTTTAATAACAGTATGAAAAGATGTACTGTAAATGTGTAGCCAATGGAAAGTGAACTTCTGCATTCAGCTATGAGCTGATGTCTAGGGCTTAATCCGTAGAGTTAAACTGTGATATATCTTCAGAAGGTGTGAAGTGGCAGAAGAAACAAATAATGGAATGATCACATTAAAATATTAATGCTTCTGCCCATATGTTGCAGATAATACTCCACCAGACTAACCACTCCACTTGAACACCCAGAAACTTCTGTATATGCTTTATTCAAAATTTTGTTCCATAACAATTTAAAGTTCAGATTTTTATGAAATGCATGGGCTTGTAATTGTATCACGCCTTTGATAAAATAAATCTAAGATAGTTGATATCTGGAAAACAGAATGTTATTTTGTCAAGTTGCATTCTTACCTGGTTGTTAAATTTGCTAGCTGGTGTACTGACTTTTTAAAATTACTTACCAAAAAATGCATGTTGTTCTTCAAGAACAGTATTACCATAGTTGAGTACTATCCAGTGTCAAATATATAAAGAACATAAATCTATAGAACAGGTTTAAGGGGGGGGGAGATGAAATATATATATTATTTTTATCAGTGAATTTTTGACGTCCAACTAAATGGGAGTTCACTTAAGTCTGCAGTTTGGTGCGGTCTTGTTCCTTTAGTCAGATGAGTCACAAGTGATTTAAGAAAGAGCATACATAGCACGATTCATTCTTTCTAATATACTGAGTGTTTAGAAGCCTCAGTATCTTTTACCCTGCCTTACAAAACTTTCCCAGCCTTGGATAATCTCCCTAGTACTGTGAATATTATTTGTCCTTCAAGGACTGATTCTCTCCCAAAACCCACCAGGCTTAGCTAAGTGGCACAAAGTCCTTCCATTTCTGGGAGGACAGTTACTCCTGGAGTAGCAGCAATGGATCTGTGTAGCAACATGCAATCCAGTACTACAACATAAGGCCCTCTTATAACACTCTTCTGTTAATGAGTAGTCTACTTCAAAGATAAGTAAAAGTTCTCCCAGACTTTTCTCTGTGGAGGAAAGGATGCATTTGTTGAGTTCTTCCAAGTTGGATAAAACTGCAGATTTGATGATGGTCCTTCAGGACTGCACCTACAAGCAGCACTTTTTTTTGGGCATACAAAAATTAAAGTTTTTCTGATACTCTAATCTTATTAAGTACTAAGGCCTGTGTGTCTTGCTACTCTGTGGATGACAATTGCATTAAAAGGGCAGAGAGATTTGGGAGGAAGTAAACCCTGTTGTGTTTCAGCTTATCCTCAGATATCAGGGGGGCTGGGGGCGGCTGGGTTTAGATTCCGAGTGATGCCCAATTCAGCACTATCAGTCCAGTCACATTCAATGTATTGAACTACCACGGCTCCAGATTCACTAATTCACTGTCCAGATGTATTTGAATGAAGTAGCATGGCCACTTTGTAGCTTTCATTGGAAATTCACAGCTGGATTCGCTGATAGTGCAATGCACTCCCAGTCTAGGAACTTTCACGGCCACGCTTGGTCATGTTCAATGAAGACTGTCACGACTGGATTAATAACTGGTGCAGGTTATTGAAGTGAGTACTGGTTCTTTTGGATTGTTGGTGTTAAGTGTAGTGTCTGCAAAAATGAGTACATAAATCTTGCAAACATAAATCTTAAGTTAAGAAAAACAACTCTATAGAGGTTTTCTAAGTTTCCTAGGTAAGATTTGAGTCTTACCCAATAAGTGTCCCTAGGGGGGGGAAAAGAGAGGCTCAGCCTGTGGACTGGTGATAGTATCCTCCCGACTTGTATGCAGTGGTATCTTCCCTAACATCCCCCATGTCTTAGGCTATTTTAGACTATTTTCCTAGTTTCAGGTGGAGCTTCAGTGACTCTAGTCATACATACCTTTATTATAATTGGTGTAAAATTTCCTTGCTTTGCCTGTAAAGGTATAGACTAGAGGAAATACAGAGCGCATGCTCAGTGAGGGGGGGTTGCACCTTGGAGGCAGGTAGCTTTTGGGATGAAGGTGTAGTTTAGCATTATAATGATGTTATAATGAGCAAAATTCCACTGAGGACATGATTTTGGCAAAGCGGTGAGAAACTGCTGGCTCAGGGTAGCAACTGTGCAGCTGAGTTCCATGATACCATCAAGTTCCCATACACAGAGCCTGGCTGTGGTGTCTTCACTGCACTCCACCCTCTGTGCTGTTTCACTTAAAGAGTCAGTGACTAAGGTTGGAGGCTGTACCTAGGGCACTACCATGGAATGGATTTCTCCTATACCAACCGCACTCTGCCCTGAAAGTTTCCTTCATGCTGGGCCTTCTCTTGAGATGGAGGTATAGAGAGATTTCTAAGTCGTCTCCAGTAATTATTCCACAATGACATACCATGAAGCTTGTTGCAGGCTCTGGGATGGTGTCCAGAATGCAGAAGTGAGGTTGAGTACAGGACTCCATGCTGAGAATTGTGGGGGTTTTTTTGTTTGTTTGTTTTTGTTT